AGTTTATAAAACGTGGTTGAACTAGGGTGTCGGAGGTGCCCCGGGGCATGCTCTCTAGTTTAGGCTTTTGCACCCTGGTGGTATGTGTGAGAACCGTGGAGTGAGTGGGTGGGTATGTATGGTTTTTCTTAAAATGGGTAAAATTATGGATAATAGGCAGGCAGGTAGCATACTTCTCTGAATGAATGTGAAAACTTTAATTTTAAGTAGGTAGGATCCAGGAAAGGCATTAGACTTCTTGCTTCCACTCCGGAGTGGAAATTCCGCCTCCTGGTTTATACAGAATTGTTACAAGATCTTATCATCTCATTCTATATTATGCTTGATTTGTTAATTTATTTTGTAACTATTCTGTGATCTTTATTATGTATCATGATTCAAAGGTATTTGCAACCATTTGAAACATTCATTTCTACTTCGATTTTATCTTAAACGAGATAGAATCGAATAAAATTCGCAAATTCTTTGATGCATTTGATACTTAGTTTTAAGTATTTCAGGATTAGCACTACGCACTATCGCGATTTTCTCTTACAGTTAGAAATATGTTATATAATTAAATATAACGAATTAATGAAATAAAAGTATTGCAAGAAAATGCATTACATTTATTGCACGATTTATTTCAATTCGATTTTATTACTCGACGTTAAAAGTGCGAAGTGTTATTAGGTCATCGAGGGAAATTATTATCTGCTTGGACATTCGATTAAATATTCTCGTGTATGATCAATGAACTCTAATTCATTGATGATCCACGAGATAAAAAAGTGAACGCGAATTGTAAATTAATTTTATAATAATTGAGAATTAGGATCATAACAAAATACGAGATCATTTGCAAAATTAGTATGAAAGATCTTATCTTACTCGAACATAGAAAATGTCCAAATGCAGTTTTCATGGAATGAAGAAAGAAGAGGCTTAATGCCGAAGAGGCCCCCACTTAATTGTGGCTCAAGAGGGCAACTACTGAGGCTATTGAGTTATTTTCAAAGGTTCAACAGCAAGTTAGAACCTTTAGAGAATGACTCTCTAGTCATATTTTATATTTTATTGTTTTACTTTTTTGCTCGTCATTAATTTCTATTTGTAATTGGAGATGATGGACCATTCCATCTCCTTGGGACACCAAATTCGTGTCTAATCGTCAAAAAGATGCATATTTGTTTAGTTAGTTAAAGTCATGAATATTAAAATTTCCGTATTATTAAATTTTGGAGCTTAATTAACTTTTTGTAAATGTTACAATAATTTCTTTTATCTTGTTCCGTTTTTAATATTTTTTTACTACGATCGTATTTTATTAATTTTGCAATTTTACTTTTGTATATAACGTTGTTTAATATAGTATTCTATAATAATTAATAGATATATATTATTTTCTCTAGTAGCTTAATATTTATACTTTTACTTTTTTTCTTTTTATAAATTTAAAATCACGCGTTTAAATTTAATGTTATTGCAACGGTAAATAGATATTTGATAAAAATAAGTAGAGAATTCAATTTGAAAAGTGCATCTGCAAATTGGACGATTCATATGTCAGGCTATTGTATCTCACTTGATTCTATAATTAATATAGTCTTCTTTTTGTTACAGGTGATCATCGTTGGATTTAACAACAAACCTTTGAGATCTTTTTTTATTTGAGTTCCTGAAATTGTTTCATTTTTGAATATATGTATAAATGCATTTCTGAAGGCACACATATAAACACTAAATATAAAATACGTATATTTAAAAGTTCATAATAAATGTAACATTGAATATTTGCACAGATTTACAAAAGATTTTAAATATGTTTGTTAATTAAATGTTTCATTTTTATTAACATATCTGTTTCAGATTTAAGACTTTAATGAATTTACTTGTTTTTATTTTTTTTTATTTTTATAATATTTATGACAGATATTCGAAAAATCATCGGTACAAAACTTGATGAAAAAAGGGATGAATTAAAAAATTAGGTTAAAAGTTATTAAAAAGTTTCAGCAAAATCCAAAACGGTCAGGGTCAAAAGTGGTCAATTTGACGTGGAATGCCCCATATGTATAACTTATACTTAGTTCTTTTTCATTTTTTTTTTTTCGTAGAAATACGCGAAAGAAATCTGTTCCCCCTTTAAAGCTTATTATTGTTATAATTATTTTGATAATTATAATCTTATGAAAATTACATTATATTGTTATAAAAGTCGAAGCGAGTTTTACGATGTATCGATTGATGATGATCTTAAGTAAAAATTAAGATATTTGGTTTTTAATTGTGTTAATTATGGATGGCAACGTAGAAGCTTCGATCAACAACACTCGTCTGTATGGTTTCATTTCTTCATCAGTTTCAGTCCACAGTCCGGATAAAGCACTATCCGTTTCGTTTTCAACTGAAAATTCAAAACTAACCAATGCTTTATCAGCAAATATTTCTTCTTCTGAATTGCTCCAAATAATTGTTGGCGATTCGCTGTTATTCTTGTTTTTATTTTTCTTTTTCTTTTCAATCTTTTTATCATCTCCTTTGTATAATTTACAAATGAGTATATAATAAGAAAATTCAAATGGCATTTTTTTACTAGTGGCGCGTTTCATCTCAGAGATTAAATTTTCGAAAAGAGGTACAGAGATTTGCGTAGGTATATTCATGAACCTTTCATTAATGAGCAAACCGATTGGTTGTGAGTCGTTCTGAAGTACATTTTTGATCAAAGTATAAGCCGCATCCGTAGCATGTTCGCTAGATAATTCTAGCAATAAATCTCTTAATCGTTGTATGCATGGAACATTCTAAAAAATGATTCATTCATTAAATGATTATAGACAAAATTAATTTGCAATATAATCGAGTTATTTCACATCTTTCTTACCTGTTTATCCGATATATTTATTACAGTCGTAATACCAAATACGCCATAAATATCATCCGTGTCTTCTTCATCTTCATCTTCGTCATCACAATCTTCTGATTGTCTTATTACCGATCCTACATAATTCTGTGAAATTATTAGTTCGGTTAACGCAGACAAATCTATTTGCGCTTTTAAAAATAGTTGTTGCAGTAATGTTTTGATTCCAAAAAAATCTGAATCTTGTGGACTACGTCCTTCAAAATCAACTTGAATTTCCATTCCCTATAAAACAAAAAAATATAGATGAATAATAAAGTTCTACATATTGTTATATCACTTATTCAACAACGATAAGAAATATTTGTTATTTTGTATCGTTAAGTTTCATTTTATTAAATCAATTTATATTACTATTATAAAAAATGAAATTAATAATTGTGGCCTTTGAATGGCTCATTTATGAATAAAATAATATTTAGATTGTTACAATTATGTTAAAGTTATGCTATTTATAACATATAACAAAATGAAATAAATATATATATATAGCATGGTAACAATTATAAATACGATACAAAATAATAAATTGCACGTGTTACGATTAGGTTATGTTCCTATTTCTTTTTAATGTTTATTTTCTTACCGATTCTTCAACTTGTTCTTGCTCGTCATCCTCGCCATCAGATGATTCTTGTTCCTCATCATCGTCCTTAACATCTTCTTGAATTTCTCGTCTTTTAACCGGAGCAGACATGATCACTCGTTCTTTATGTTTAATATACTCTGATCACGTGACTAGCAAGTGTATAAATATCATAGAGATACTCTACACATAGAGCAGAAACAAGCCAGCATAAAACCTGTCGGCGAAATAAAAAGAGATAGAAGATAGGAGGTTGATGTTGTCTTTCTCTAACTTGCGAATAATCGAACATCTAACGAGCTTCTACGATAAAAAAATAAAAATATATAAAATAAAAAATGGGCATGCGCAGTTAACGCATGAGTTAGAGAGAGACAACATCAACCTTTCGTTTTTTGCTGCTATTTCATGCATAGACATTTCCACTTGCACAACCACCTATGGTTTGTTTCCTCTATCAGTAATATCTCTATGATAAATACACTTAACAGATATTACTAACTCATAAGTAATCGATATAATTTTGTTTTAAATTAATCATTAAATTTAAATAATAATATTTATTTAAAGACAATTTTTTTATTCAAATAAAATGAAATAGTGTCGATAGATTAATAAATATTAACATTTTCATTGATTTGCCTACGGTCGATAATATAAAAATTGACTGTATCGATAACGTCATTTTATAATACGAATGATAATCTTTTCGATACGTAATTTGACTTCGTTTGTATTTAAACTGTATACATTGTATCCGTGTAATAATATTTTTAAGAAAATTCCCTTTAAATCATAATTTAAATGTCCCGCGCGTAACATACGACAGATGTCGCCAATGCACCGTTCTGGAAAGGATATCAGTTAAAATCGGGTCAAGAAAAAAAGTGAGTGAGTGAGGAAACGGTTCGTTAACTCTCAAGTATTTTGCATAAATCCACAAGTGTCTCTTACGTATCTACGTATCACACAAGATTACACCAAAGAAAACGATTAGGAGTAACCGCGAAGGTAAATTCCATGCTTCATGTTCTCCATCCTTCTTAGATTAATTTCCGGGGAGGGAAAAAAGAAAAAAAAGACTAAATAGAAAAACAGAGAAAAACAAAACTTACACAAAACCAGAACAAAATCTCAACTCTAATTCGTTTAGTAACTGCGCTAGAATGATTCAACTATTTCACGATCTTTTCACTTCAATTTTTCATTTTCACATATAGAAAAAAGAAAACCAAAAAAGAAAAAAGAGAGAAAGAGAAAGGGTTAGAAACGGGTGTCTCGGGGAAGAAGATAGAAAAAGGATAAGAAACTGAAAGGAATAAAAAAAAAAAAGTAAAAAACGAAGTAAAAGAAGTAACGGTCTTTCGACATGCGCCTTTGAAACATTTCTTTCAACACTCCGTGGCGCCTTTTGAAATTAAATCAAAAAAAAAAAAAAAGAAAGAAAAAGCCATAACATTTTGCTGCTAATTTTCTTGAGAAACAAGACAAAATATAGAATATAATAAAATAAGAGCAAGGATTAAAGTTTCGTAAGAAATTAAAAGAAAGAAAGAAAGAAAAAAAAAGGATAAAAGTTACTATAAAAAGAAAAGGATCATTTAAATTTGTCCCTCTTAATCTCCATTAGATTCAAATCACATCATTATCATTCATTAATTAACAATTGTGTTGTTAATACTATGAATAATTTTGATTTCTAACGCAAAGACGCGTTATAATAAGAGAGTTTTGGACGAAGTAAAATTTGAATTGGCCGGTATTGATTCGCGCGCTTGTAAATCGGCCTCTGATTGGTGCTTAGCAGACTCATTCGGCGTATATCAACGAGTCTCGAAGTCTGTAAACGAAATTCGATTAAAGTAGTTGCGCATGGTCCAAAGGAAGGAAATCTTGTTTTCTCGAATTTCCCGGAGTCTGTCAGGTGGCACCACGTCGTTTTCCTGTCCCTGTAAAATATATATATATATAAAATATATATATATATTTCTCTCTCTTTCTTTCCGTTCATCCATCTACCTTTCTCTTTCTATTTCGGTCTCCTTCGATCTTACTCGTTTGAGGTAGACTACTACTACTACTATTACTACTACTACTATTACAGAGATAGAACGGTACGGCGCAGTAGTACGAGTTGCATTTTCTAGGTTAAACAGACGCGTTTCCTCTTCCATTCGTACGTCGTCCTCGTTGTCATCGTTGTCGTCGTCGTCCTCGTCGTCGTCGTCGTTGTTGTTGTTTTCGTCGTCGTCGTCGTCGTCGTCGTCGTCGTCGTCATTATTTTCGTCGTTATTATATCGTTAAGTTTTCGTCGTTGTATTCGACACCCTTTTTTCTGTTTCTTTTTCACCCACTTTTCTTTTTTCTTTTTTTGAAATTATTTTTCTAAAAAAAAACCACCCTCTTGTTATATCCAAACGTTCAGAGTTCTAACCAAAAACAATATATATTTCTATTGAAATTATATTTCTTTTTTTATTTTTATTTTTTTTTCTTAATTCACACTTATTATTTCGGAGTTTTATATTTTAATAATATTTTCTGTCACCATGTCTCGTGAATAAATAAATAAAACAAATTTATCAATTATACAGTACATCTTAACGTGAGATTTCGTGAGTGATTTAACCTGTGGCGGGGGTGGTGAGATGGCAGTCTCTTTCTCTCTCTCTCTCTCTCTATATATATATATATATATATCTCTATCTCTCTCTTTCTCTTTCTTACTGTTTTTCTCTGTTTTTTTTTTATACATCCTCCATCATATTTTCATCTCTGGTGTTAATATATACATATATATACATAATCGTTCATTTCTCTTCTATTTTTATTAAATATGTCGTTTGGTCTTTTAGATGTTTCTCGAATATAAAACATTTGTTTGGAACCATTTTTTTTGTTTCCCCCACTCCTTTCAACAACAACAAAAAAATAACCTAAAAAATATCCTCTTACACACACGTCTGATTGATTTATTTATTATATATTCATCGAAAATGTCGCGTTTAATAAATACACGTTACACATGGGTTCATAATTGTGTCACATGTTTAATACACATTTACTACACATATAATGTGTGATCTTGTGTATGTGTTATGTGTATTTATATATTTATATCATACATACACATATATATATATACAGAGAATGCATACGATCGTTTAATAAAACACAAACACGATCGCAAGTGCTTTCCATACATGGCTGTATTTTTGATGTTTTTTAGCAGTGTTCTACATTACATATACTATATATATATATATTGCTGTCTCACAGGACTTTTGGTCTCTTTCTCTTTTTCTGTTTTTCGTTCGTTTTTTGGTTTGTATTTTTTGTCTCTAGTTTTATGTTTCATTCATTATTGTTTCTTGCGCTTTTCATCTCATGGCGGATTATATTAATAATATTATTATTGCTAATATTAATATTATTATTTTTTCTTTTCTGTTCTTTTCTTTGTTGAAAAGAAAAAAAGAAAAAAGAAAATGTTTTCTCGTTTATATAACTTTGTTAATTAGAAGAAATATGATATCAAGGCTCGGGGATCGATGATGTTCTTTTCTTTTTTTTTTTTTTTTTTTNAATTCAATATTATAACGTACAGATTTTATTATTTTATTTATTCTAAAGTAAATATTTTATTGTTCATGCGCAGTGATGACTTCGAGTGTTTAATTATGCTGTAATATAAGTAAAGTGTATTAGAATATTTAAATAATTGTTAATTAATTGATAGAAGTATCGATTATTATTAAAAAGTACGAGATAAATTATTGGAGTACCTTCCTCTTCGAAATTCACTTATATACTGACCCATTGTTCTCTATAACCAAACATTAATTAGAAAGTTGTTTATATTTCTTTTTGTTTTATTTCGAGCATGTGCAACAGTAATTATAATTCTAATAAAGAAAATTCAATATCATAACGTACAGATTTTATTATTTTATCTATTCTAACGTAATTATATTATTGTTCATGAGCAGTGATGACTTCGAGTGTTAAATTATGCTGTAATATAAGTAAAGTGTATTAGAAAATATTGAATTCAGTTCGTCAGTAATTAATCGATAATGCAGAACTTCCCGCGAAATTTTTATTTATCGATATAATTTATGGTGGCACTCCTGAGAGAAAGATATCAATTGTTTTATGCATGTTTAAATAGACTGACGATTCTCTTTTGTACGGTTGTGTTCTTCCGTACGATGTGATAAAGTTTTCACGGTGTTTAAAACATTATCTTTATTTTTATTTATGATTGTTAGAATATTTTTTATAAATAAATTATATTATGTTGAGTTTAACGTGGGTGTAGGAGAAAAACGAGTTACGTACGTGTGGTGGTTAAGCTTGTGTACGTGATGAATCTTATGATTGGTCATTTCATGTCCGAAATAACAAATCAGCTAATTAGCCAATGAAACGACAGCATTCTTTCTCCAACGTACCGAGAAGGGGAAGTGACCACCATTTTGAATTTGTCTTCTATAGTGGTTGCAGCAGATTTGGTCGTCCGTTGATATCAGGTAATTAATAGATTTTTTCTAACGTTTAAACCTTCAAATTATATATGATACGATAACTATAAGCAAGATTTTTATACATGAGTGTTTTTAAAACTGAAAAATACAAATTTCGAAAGATATCCGTGAAAATATAATCGTCGACATTTCTCGGCTTCCCGCCATATCTCATCAAGGCCAACTTATAATATTTCGTCTAATTTTTATCTTTTTCTCATGGTATCGATACTTTTTATCATCTCTAATGATGCTCTAATTAATTATTTTTCATAATTATGTCTTCAAAAATCGTATATCGTATTAAATTTGATTTCTGTCACATACACATACATATAGGCATATATGTAGAAGTATAGGTAACTCGTACACGTACACTCATTTATTTGATTTCCTTTATATTGTACTAATGTAATTTTAATTTTTAATTTTTGTAGTTTTCCGAGCATTGGAAGAATCTAATACGAATATATATACTCATTCTAAGAATTGTCCTTTTTTTATGTTAACATCTATGGAGTTAAGTCTAAAAAAACAGAAAGAAGTATAATAGAAAGAGTATGATATGAGATAGAAAGAGAAAGAATGTAAAAATTCCACTTGCAGGCATTCATAAATGTGTTTATATATTTCTAGGAAATTCTCGAGACAAAAATAAACAAAAAACAACCGACAACAAAAGAAGAACAATCGAGCACCGAGTACCCCCGAGCACCGAGTACCCGAGTACCCCCGAACAT